CGTCAGTAACCGGTGCGGACAGACTTGTGTAATGCGTGCGCGCTGTGTAAACTTAAGTGTAAACACGTAAAGATTACGCCGAAATGACAGCATGTGCGGGGTTATCGCGCGCGCGCCGGCATGGCCGTATGCTCTGCTTGCGCATATCGCGATTTTGGGATGCCGGATCAAATGAAAGACAAATTTTTCGTGGCTGTGGAGGAAGGAAGTGTCGCCAGGTGGGTGGCGAATAATGTGAACCACCGATTGTGGACTCAGCCCACTAGTACGTTGCCTCGTCCCAAAGGTATGTGAAATATGTTGTAATTAAGCCCACATTTCCTGCTCGACTCGTTTATGTTGGTTGCCGCGCAGAGTAGTGGTTCTTCGAACCCTTTCCCATGTCTTTATGTATAACAGACCACGATGCCGTGGTGTGTATTGCTTTGCGTTGTAACAAATTAAAGTGTGCCTTGCAGTGGACTCTCCAATTTTATGACACGTAACACTTGTGCGTACTGCCGAAAAAGCATGTTTTATTGTGACGGGTACAGCTGCGCAAAGAACAGTTGGTGCCAACAGTGTTTGTAAACTCATGTGTTTGTTGCTTCCAAAATAACAAATGATATATTTAGATAGGTGGTGAGAGGCGTTGTATGCACCACGATATGCTGATCCAGTCCAGACGAGCGAAAAAAAGAAGAGGTGAAAAAGCTGAACCTAATTTAAAACAGCTTTCTATTAGTCTGTGTTTAAAAGGGGGTACAAACTAAAGCTTAGAAGAAAAAGCATTTGTTGCTTGCAATACTACCTAGTCCGAATACAGCAAGTCTTTCAATGATACTAGGCATCACTGTGCACTATGCAAGTAATGCATTATAGAAGTGTTGTGCATGTTTAGCAGTCTCGTTGTATAATGCGTCCATAGTTTATATGGAATAACTGCCCCGCCGCGGTGGTCTAGTGGCTAAGGTACTCGGCTGCTGACCCGCAGCTCGTGGGTTCAAATCCCGGCTGCGGCGGCTGCATTTTCGATGGAGGCGGAAATGTTTTAGGCCAGTGTGCTCAGATTTCGGTGCACGTTTACGAACCCCAGGTGGTCGAAATTTCCGGAGCCCTCCACTACGGCGTCTCTCAAAATCATGTGGTGGTTTTTGGACGTTAACCCCCACATATCAATCAATCATCAATTATATAGAATAACTGCTTCATACCTTTCAATGCACCTACTCAAGGAGTTCAACTGCCTTTTACTTTGCAACAGTGCACGAATGAAGGTTGAAGTAATAAGCATCAGCTGTAAGCAATACCGGTGCACTGCCAGCGCTGGCTACATAGCATGTTAGTACACTTGTGTGAAGGTCAGACAGTCTGGTTACCGTGTAATCTAGCATTTTTTCTTATTGGACTACATGCTGGTAAGCATGTTGCCCCTTCTCTCAAGCGTGGTTTCCTCATAATTTTTTTTGAGATTAGGATCACTTCTGGAATTGAGTAGTTTCCACACCATTGCCAACACAACCTTTAGCATTGCTGTGGAGGTGATAGGGCTTCAGTAGATTACCTGTTCTCTGTCAAAAAGTGCCCTACATTTACATCAATTGCATTTGTTTTTATAACTATTGCATGTACATCACAGAAAATTGAGCTAGTTGACTGCGATTCAACACGAAACAAGGTGAGGCATACTGGCACAGACAACGGAAAAGAACAAGGCAGTGAAAATGTGGCTGTCAACTGAAAAAAACACACTGTGCCCTTTTAGTGAGCAACCATTTAGAAAAAATGGATATTAACATTTTCTTAAGGAAGGCCTCAGTGCACTTGAAGATCTGAGCTGGCAGTAGTCCCCTAGATAATCAAGACTGTTGCTAAACCTTTGATCGAAGCAATTAATGTGTTTTTGGCCTTGTGTTTGAGTAGCCACTGTTGAATGCTTAAAAGAGAAAAGTCCACCAGTTTGTCAAGTTCGAACATAACTGTTGGAAGAAGTAAACAAGAAATGACATGTATAAGTTTTACCCATGCATTCTTTAATGCATGGGCTTAAGAAAGTACATATGGTATGAACATTGCTCTTGCAGCCATTGATAAGCTTTCAGCTAAACTTTCAGGTGCTTCAACATTCGTTCACAAGGGTGCTATTAGTTCAGAAGGTCCAAGTATCGTATGAACTTGTCATTGTGATGCTGCTGCTTCAGTAAAAAGAAACACATCTTTGCATGTCGTGTCCTGAAAAGTATATACTGGGGCAAGGTTCCCAAATTTCTGTAAGTGTTCTTCATGAATGCAATGAGATCCCAAGAAAGGGTATGCACAACACAAAGGAACAAAAATGCCGGTAAGAATGACTAAGATTTTGTGTATGTCAGTGGAGGGGAGGAAGGGGCATCAATACAGTATTATCAAATTAGAACACTGAAGTGTGCACAAACATGGACAGAAAGAGGTAATGACAACACAAGTCCTTACATCCAACTAATCATTTATTCACAAATCTGCACAATATTGGCACTTGCTTTCATGACATGACAAAACATAAATGAAAACAACTGTACATGCTCAAATACTGTTACTTGCCATGATAAAATAGTGAAAAGTGTGCTGATGTACAAGTTACTTGCCTTTCTAATATAATAAACGTCATTATTCTATCTATTATGTTTGTTCTTAATTCTGACTATTACCTGGCACTAATTATACAATTAGCTACGAGGCATCCGTCACAGCCCGGTTGAATCTCGGGCGTATTTTCGATGGAAGTGACAATGCTTGAGGCCCGTGGGCTTAGCTAGGTGCATGTTGAGAAATCTCAGTTGGTTAAAATTTCCAGAGCGCTCCACTACGGCATCTCTGGTAATTGTATCTTGGTCATGGGATGTTAAGCCCCAATCACTATTGTTATTTATTTAACAATACTGCCAATCTCCACAGAGACTATAGCAGGGAGGGCATATGAGAAATAAGCAGTCACAAGACTTCGTGCAGGCCAACGGACAGGCTGAAATTTGAAATGAAATTTCCTGAAACCTGGTGTGTCAAGTTTTGGCTCTCTCGGAAGACAACTTACTTTCCCTTTACCAATCAGGAATGATGATGTTCTTAGTAGATGCCATCATAATTATGACGTCACAGTGGCTGGTGACACGCCCTTACGCCTAGCCGTGTGTGGGTTAGCTGTGTCTGGAGGAAAGGTATGGTGGGAGTTGAGCTGCAGCTAGGTGCTTAGACCTTTCCGAGGTCCCCTGGAAGAGACAACACACCCTTGGCCCAGGCTTTACATAGAGAGCACTCCTGAGCTGACCCACCCAAGGAAAGCCAGCAGTCACCATTTCTGGTCTCTCTACATATATATTCATCTCTTTCTCTCAATTTTAATGTTTCCCGTCTTCTTCTCTCTTCTATTTGCTTTCAATGTTTTTGGTGGCAACGATTATATGTGTGTTGTATTGAGCCTTGGGTATAGATATTAGATTATAGTGGTGGTATATAGCTGACGCTTGCAGGTTCTTGAGACCTGTAGCAACTCCACGTTGGGCATGGCAGGTAGGTGTCTACCAGTGCTGCTTAATTTCAAAACCATGTTATTGCAGCAACTTTCCCACACTTTACACATTGGCCTATTGAAAGAGATTGCACCAAAACAGAATTTAACCTTATTCTCTGCTCCAGCCTATACTTCGTTTCACAAGCTGTTGAGAGTGCAGCCAAAGGAAGAGCTCTCGTCCAATCAGGGCTGTAGAGGCACAGAAAATACTCCCTGAAATATTTCAGAGATACAATACTATTTCGCAAGCTACACTCACAGAAATTGAAAACACGATTAAGATTGACTGTTTGAAAGCCTGCAGTGTTTAAATCATTAGTGAAATTAAGACACACAGCCCGCATGGACACATCTCTGCGAAGTTTTTTTGTGAGGTGGTGATGCGCTGCTTCTCGAAAACATGGTGTCACTGAGTTGATTGTGTCTGTGCCAACCGCCCTCAGCTGATTACAGTAGCCACCTTCGAATGTGCGTGGTATTCCCAAGCTGGAAAAGTAGATAGCTTTGAATATTCTTCAACGGTTTCGCGTCGAGTGCGAAGACAGTGCAAGTGAGGATGCTCTTGATAAGAAAACTGCAAAACTGACCCAAGTGAGTGAGCGAATGCTGTATCGTTGGAAACCCGATACAGTTATAGTAGAGTCGTTATGTTATAGCTACTCTGGTTACGTGTGAGGTCCACTTGTCGCTGGCACCAGCAGTTGTGCAAAATGGCCCTCAAGCTGAGTGACCAGTAAGCCTTCCTTCGAATGTGCGTGGTATTCCCAAGCTGGAAAAGTAGATAGCTTTGAATATTCTTCAACGGTTTCGCGTCGAGTGCGAAGACAGTGCAAGTGAGGATGCTCTTGATAAGAAAACTGCAAAACTGGCCCAAGTGAGTGAGCGAATGCTGTATCGTTGGAAAACCGATACAGTTATAGTAGAGTCGTTATGTTACAGCTACTCTGGTTATGTGTGAGGTCCACTTCTCGCTGGCACCAGCTGCAGAACTGCAGGACAGCGGAGCACAGCTTGGCCCCGATTCCGGAGCGCGCCATAGATGGGCTTTCTACGAGTGATTTTTGAGCATCTTCAGTAATTGGTTGAGATAAGAGAAAGGAATTTTTAGCTGACTTTGGTAATTTACTGGGAATTCAAGGCCGCATGCTGCACTGTAATATTTGGCTCGGGCGTTGTCCGGGGGCTCTACCAATTGGCAGCGTTTTCTGATTAGGCTCAAAAAGTGTTGCAGGGCCTCTTTAAGTATACTTCTGGGCCCACTATTTCAAGCACTCGGCATGCCACCATTATGTCAAAGTCACTGACGTGTTACCGATTCCCTAACAATTATGGATTTCTAGAAATAAAAGCCGAGTTGATCATCTACAGGAAAGAGCGGAGAGAATGCGCCAGAGACTAATCCAATGGTAAAACAAGTCATCTGAAGCTTACAGATCGAAGGTACTGCAAGTAAAGACCAACACGCAGCAGACACTTAATCTTTAATTGCTTGACTGTTCAGGTCTAATAATGTCGTCCATGACAGCCGTGACCAATGCGAACACTTTGTCCGGGTCGTCCTCAGCTGAGATCTGAAATACAAACACAACATACTTTATCGAAACTTTGCAGCGAGCCTTAAGGAGTGACTAGGAAAGTTTAAAGTATAATAGCGTGCCCCATGTATTTTAAACCCACACACACACACACACTAATAGCAAGCAGAATATACATATAACCCTACTTTGGGGTACCTCACGTTGTACAGGTGAGCTGACCGCGAACTCAGTCTTGAATTTGATCTGGTTGACTCGCATTATAACCGCTCATTACTTGCATGTATGTGTTTCATGACTTGAGCCCGGATTTTTAGTAACAGAAAACAGTGTTTTAGGCCCCAAAACTAGGTAGGCCAAACAGTTTTAGGCTCCCAGAAACGTAAATATGAACACAATATAATCTTCCAAAAACTCAATATTTTGTAGAAACAGGTTCGCAACCTTTCTGCAACCGGAAATAATGAAACCTTAAAGTTTGTGATGGGACAAATGCGCCAGTTCTTAGCATAAAGCCAATCAATTGTCCTTTTTTCCACCTTGTTTTCGGAGCATTATCACCAGTTTAACTACGTCTACTGCAGAACGAAGGCCTCTCTCATGATCTGTCAATCAACCTGGTCTTGTGCTTTCTGCTTACACGTTATACCTGCGAACTTCTTAATCTCATTGGTCCACGTAACTTTCTGTTTCCCTCTCGAGCGTTTTCCCTCTGAAGGAATCCAGGCAGTTGCTTTACATGACCAGCAGTTATGCTGCCTGAGGTATAGTGGTTGATTACCATTTATTATTTAGGAATGCTCACCGAATGTGATCCACCCTATCCTTATCGTTTTAGTTACTTCATTCTCATGGTTGGACTCGGCAGTTACTACCTGTCCTAAATAGATATATTCCTTTACAACTTACAGAAGTCTCTCCAACTATCATGAAGCATTGTTCTCTGCCCAGACAGTTACACATTAATTATATGCATAATAATTTTCAGACCTACTATTTTGCTTTCCATGTCCAGTTTAGTATTCGTGACCTGTAATTTGTCCCCTGAGTTACTCATCAAGGCAATGTCATCAGTGAATTGCAGGCTACTGAGATACTTTCCATTAGCTCGATCCCTAACTCTTCATAATCTGGGGCCGTGAAAACCTCCCGTAAACACGTGGCGAAGAGCATTGGAAGGATTGCGTCTCCCTGCCTTACACTCTTCTTTATAGAGATTATGTCGCTTTCTTTAGAGAGAACTATAATGGCCGTGACTCTTCCATAGATTTCTTCCAGATTGATAATGTAGGGCTCATTGACGCCCTAATTTTGTAGTGCCTGCATTACTGCTGATGTCTCGACTGAGTCAAATGCCTTCTCGTAATCTATGAAGGCAATGTATAGAGCTTGGTTATATTTCGAGCATTTCTCTATCACCTGATGGATAGTATGAATATCGCGCCACCGCAGTGGTCTAGTGGCTAAAGTACTCGGCTGCTGAACCGCAAGTCATGAGATCGGATTCCGGCTGCGGGGGCACCTGCATTTTCGATAAAGGGGAAGTGATGCAGGCCCATGTGCTCAGATTCGGGTGAACGCTAAAGAGCCCCAGGCTGTCGAAATTGCAAGAGCCCTCCACTATGGCATTTCTCATAATCATATGGTGGTTGTGAGACGTTAAACCCCGTATATCAATCAATAGTATAAACATAGCCTATTCTGGAGCAGCCTGTACGAAATCCTGCTTGGTTTTTTGTTTCATTGAACTTTAATGTCGCCCTAATTCTACTAGCTGTTATTTTTTTTAATATTTTAGTGAGAGTGGACAATAAGCTAGCTGGTCGGTGTAATTTGTGAAGTCTAACTTTTCTTTTTTATAGGTTATGATGACGTTCAACGACAGAGAACACGAGGGGAGTATGACGGAGCGACTGGAGGAGGGCTGCTGCGTCGGGTTTCGCCGGAGGCTGGGTGGCAGCCGGGTGGAAACTATTTGGAGGGGCATGGCAGCTTTCGGTCAGGACACTGGGAGCCGCACACAGATTGAGGAGTGGTGTGACTTGTTTGCGGATGACCGCACAATGTTGGATGGTGAGCCACGCTTCGGTCTGCCATCGGCATGCCGAAATGACCAAGTCATTGCCAATGGCTGATTCCACGAGAGATCGACACGGGTCCAAATGTTGATATTTTGGATTTCATTGAGTATTTTATATTTCGTGCACCTCTCACCAGGTAGCCCGAAAGTCAACTTCGTTTTATGATTAACGGCATAACTGAAGAGAAAAAATATATCAAACCTCACCAACATGAAGGCACCAATTTCGTCACCTGTCATTTTCGAAAATTGCAGATGCCATAAAAAGACAAATATTTCTGTTTCGAAGAAGATATCTGTTACCTGAAATGTATGTCTGATGAAGAATGAATTGATACGGTTTCAAGTTTGTAGACCGAAAGATAATAGCTTTTAAAAATGTCTAATTTTGCGACAGTTCAAAATAATTTACGTATTTCCCATTTTTTTCTCCGAAAGTATTGCAAGCAGCATTTTCAGACTTGACATGTGTCAAGAAAATAGTGTGTTCATTAGGAACATAAACTATTGTTGCAGTAGGGCAAATTTAAATTATTATATATTGCCTCAAAGTTCTCATATTGACAAAAGTGTACTCCACTAAATTTTAAATAAGAAAAAAACCCATATTCGATTTTTCTTAAAATCTCGTAAATAGACAACCGAAAGCCATCATAGAGTAATATAGAAAAACATGTTGAATTATTTTGTTATTAGGGACAATATTCGTGGTACAAATCAGAGCTTTTCGAGAATGCGCAGATAAGTTGAGAAATCTAGAAATGAGAACGAAAAAGCGGCAAAGAGCTTCAAGCTTCAAACGCGAGTAAAAGTGACCGTATTAGGTGAAAAAAGGCTGTTTTAGCACTGTGACAAATACGTACCCATAAGGGGCATTTATGCTCCTGATAACACAGCCCTGATGGAGGAAATGTTCGACACTGCAACTAAGTTGCAAAACATCGGTCTATATTTGCAGATAAACTCAAACATGAAAATGTTCCAACGCAAGTGTTGGGTCTATACAAATATTATATAAACAACAGTGATTCAGCATTTAGAGAGTCCTTGTTATCATGAGGAGGGTTAGATCCCATGTTTTGTTGGCAGCATGGCAATAAATGGAAGAGGTGTAATGGTCACTTCACCAATTAATTGAATCTTGGGATCATGCTGGAAGTAGTCACAGCAATTCTGCAGTGCGGTCTGCCTGTGTAAGCTTCCCGATTGTGTAATTCTTTCGCTACATTTCTGTTTGTCCTATTGCTGTCTTTCTATTGTGAAGTTTCGCCAAATTTATTTCTTACACAAACGCAAAATTTCCGTTTCACAAGAACCGAGATTCAAATGTTCGGAAGCTTTGTTACATTGTGGACATCTTGTACCAGATTTCATATAATGCAGTGTGTTACGGCAGTAGGAAGCAGCGATGGCGTAGTGGTTAGAGCATCCGCCTCGCATGCAAAAGGTCCGTGGTTCAAATCCCCGTGCCGCCCAGTTTCCAACCGGATGAAAAAAAATCCGCGTGGTGATGGAACTGCATTACGAGGCCTGGGGTGCGGCCTCATCGGTTACCACCGCCGGGAACGCACTCCCTCACCACAGAAGGATTGGCCGCCCTGGTGCAGTATCTGGCCACTACCTCCCACATGCATACGTCAAATAACTCACGGCCCTCAGTCCCCAGCAGCTGCGAAGCAACTGACCATGGCGGCGGCCAGATCTGCAACGCAGCAGAGGGTGCTAAGAATCTCTGGATCCGGACAGGCCGCCATTGGAACCGGAACTCGGCAACGTTTAACGCTAGAACCTTATCTAGTGAGGAAAGTCTAGCTGTACTATTCGAGGAGCTAGAGGGTGTTAAATGGGATATAATAGGGCTCAGTGAGGTTAGAAGGACAGATCAGGCCTATACGGTGCTACAGAATAGGCACGTCCTTTGCTATCGAGGCTTGGCTGACAGAAGAGAACTAGGAGTGGGGTTCCTAATTCAGAGAAACATATCTGGCAACATAGATGAATACTATAGCAATAATGAAAGGGTTGTAGGTATTGTATTACACTGAATAAGAGATACAAGATGAAAGTGGTACAGGCTTACGCGCCTACATCCAGCCATGATGACGCTTTAGCTGAAAGCTTCTATGAAGACGCAGAATCGGCAATGAGTAAGGTAAAAACACAGTATACTATAGTGATGGGCAACTTCAATGCAAAAGTAGGGAAGAAGCAGGCTGGAGACGAGGCAGTAGGAGATTATGGCATTGGTACTAGAAACGCCAGAGGAGAGCTACTAATAGAATTCGCAGAACGCAATAATTTACAGATTTTTAATACCTTCTACCGAAAACGAGGAAACCGCAAGTGGACATGGAGGAGCCCTAATGGCAAAAATAAGAAAGAAATAGACTTTATAATGAGTGCACACCCAGGCATCGGGCAGGATGTGGAATTGGTTGGCAAGGTACGATGCAGTGACCATAGAATGGTACGTTCTCGAATTCTCTTAGACTTGAGAAAGAAACGACACAAGTTGATACGCAAGAAGCCAATCATTAGCTAGCACTGAGAGGAAAAGTACAGGAATTCAGAGTCTTGTTTCAGAACAGGTACTCGGCTCTTAGTGAGGAAACCAACCTTAGCATAGATACAATGAGTGATAATCTGACGAGTATCATTACGGAGTGTGCAGTGGAAGTTGGAGGCAGGGTAGTTAGACAGGACACTGGCAAGCTTTCGCACGAAACGAAGAATCTCTTTAAGAAGCGTCAAATCATGAAAGTCTCAAGTACAACGGAAAAAATAGAACTGGCAGAGCTTTCGAAGTTGATTAATAGGCGTAAGTTATCCGACGTAAGAAGGTATAACATGGAGAGAATTGAACACGCTCTGAAAAACGGAGGAAGCGTCAAAGCAGTGAAGAGAAAACTTGGGATAGGCAAAAATCGGACGTATGCACTAAGGGACAAAGAAGGCAAAATAACCACCAATATGGGTAGGATAGTTAAATTGGCGGAGGAGTTTTACAGAGATCTGTACAGTAGCTGGGACATCCACGACTTTATTATTATGAGAACTAGCAGTAAGACAGATGACACCTCACCAGTAATGATAGAAGAAGTGAGAAAAGCTTTGGAGAGCATGCAAAGAGGCAAAGCTGCTGGTGAGGATCAGGTAACATCAGATCTGCTAAAAGATGGAGGACAGATTGTGTTAGAAAAACTAGCCACCCTGTTTACGAGGTGTCTCCTGACGGGAAGAGTACCAGAGTCTTGGAAGAACGCTAACATCATCTTAATACATAAGAAAGGAGATGACAAGGACTTGAAGAATTACAGACCGATTAGCTTGCTCTCTGTAGTACACAAGCTATTTATAAAAGTAATTGCTAACAGAATAAAGAAAACATTAGAATTCAATCAACCAAAGGAACAAGCAGGATTTCGAACAGGCTTCTCAACAATCGACCACTATCATACTATCAATCAGGTAATAGAGAAATGCTCAGAATATAACCAACCACTATGCATAGCCTTCATAGATTACGAGAAGGCGTTTGATTCAGTAGAAATATCAGCCGTCTTGCAGGCAGTGCAGAATCAGGGCGTCGATGAAGTATAGATAAACATTCTGGAAGAAATCTACAGGGGATCAACTGCTACCATAGTGCTTGATAAAGAAAGCAACAGAATACCAATCAAGAAGGGTGTAAGGCAGGGGGACACAATCTCCCTATTGCTATTTATCGCGTGCTTACAGGAGATTTTCAGAAGCCTAGAATGGGAACAGTTAGGGATAAGAGTTAATGGAGAGTACCTTAGTAACCTGCGCTTCGCCGATGACATTGCTTTGCTGAGTAACTCAGGGGACGAATTGCAACTCATGATTACGGAGTTAGACAAGGAGAGCAGAAAGGTAGGTCTTAAAATGAATCTGCAGAAAACGAAAGTAATGTACAGCAACCTCGGAAAAGAGCAGCGCTTCGAGATAGGTAATAGTGCACTTCAAGTTGTAAATGACTATGTCTACTTAGGGCAGGTAATAACCGCGGAGCCGAACCACGAGATTGAAGTAACTAGAAGAATAAGAATGGTGTGGAGCACATTTGGCAAGCACTCTCAAATTATGACAGGTAGATTGCCACTATCCCTTAAGAGGAAGGCATATAACAGCTGTATCTGGCCAGTGCTTAGCTACGGAGCAGAAACCTGGAGTCTTACAAAGAGGGTTCGGCTTAAATTGAGGATGACGCAGCGAGTAATGGAAAGAAAAATGGTAGGTGTAACCTTAAGAGACAAGAAGAGAGCAGAGTGTATTAGGGAACAAACGGGGGTTAAGGATATCATAGCTGAAATCAAGAAGAAGAAATGGCCATGGGCCGGGCATGTAGCGCGTAGACAGAATAACCGCTGGTCGTTAAGGGTAACTAACTGGATTCCCAGTGAAGGGAAGCGGGTTAGGGGGAGACAGAAGGTTAGGTGGGCAGATGAGATTAAGAAGTTTGCGGGTATAAATTGGCAGCAGCAAGCACAGGACCGGGTTAACTGGCGGAACATGGGAGAGGCTTTTGTCCTGCAGTGGACGTAGTCAGGCTGATGATGATGATGATGATGATGATGATGATGATGATGACGTTCGCGTTCTTCGAAGATTTTGCTACCCATCCTATCAAGAGACACTTGGTACATAAGGTATCCAGTTTTTCCAACACAATTTCTCCGCCATGTTTCAGCAGGTCCATTGTTAACTTATACTCACCAGCAGCTTTGCCTCTTTGCATTCTAGGGCAATCGTTACTTCCGCTTTGTTATTGATAGAATGTCGAATTCCTCTGGGGTTATTATTGCTTCCTACGATATCATCCTGGTTGTTTCGGCTTCTGTACAGCTCCCTGTAGAACTAACTCCTCCGCCACCTCAACCGCCCTATCCATAATGGTCATGAAATTGTCTTCCTTGTCCTTTAATGCATACATCGGATTTTTGTTTATGCACAAATTTGCCATTGCAGCTCTTAAGATTTCGCCGTTCTTTACAACCTGCTTGATTCTCCCAATGTTATACCTACTGATGTCACCTACCTTACTCCTATTAATTAGCTTCGAAAGTGCCACTAGCTGTATTTTGTCGGTTACATTTTTGGCTTGGTCAATGACACTTTTCTTCTCCGAGGGTACTTTGCCATTGCCCTGTCCAGTGACTGTACCTCCGACTTCCATTTTTTAATCTTTGATGATACCAGTAAGACTATTGTTCACTTTCCCAACGCTGAAACCGGAGATCTAATTTACAGCCGCGAATCTAATCTGAGACGAAACCATCAATTCCTGTACTTTACTTCTAAACACCAGCTTAGATATTGGCTTCTTATGTATCAGTTTATGCCTTTCACTTTTTTAAATCTAGGTGAATTCAAACTATTACCATTCTTACCAGAAAGATTACCAGAAAGAGGTGAAATGTCAGACTGACCAGTACTTGATGGCCAACATAAGTGACGACATGCTGAATATGTTTATTTATCTGCGTAATAAGTATTGGGTCGATGGCATACTGCCTCAGGAATGGAAATCGGCCGAAAGTACCTTTATTCCCAAACACGGAAAGCCGATCAATATAGAGAACCTTCGTCCTATTTCTTTAACCTCCTGTGCAGGCAAGGTATTGGAGAAGGCACTGTAGATTCGGCTCACTGAATACATAAATTGTCTGTAGTAAAAAAGAAGCATGAACAAGAAGAAATATTCGCATTCTTCAAACCGACATCAGGAGACACAAGTTTATTACTCCTTCAAAGTTCTCAACAATTTTGGTACGTGAATCAATTCATGAGGGACCCAACTGAATGCGTAATGACGCCACTTCAGGATATGCGATAAGTTTGCCAGGCTCAAATCAGAGTTGAAAAGCATAAGAGCAGTGTAGCATTCACGTATGTCATCAGTTAAAAAAACCATCCTGTCGCTTGAAAGACCACAAAGCCCATCCGCAGTTTATAGTGTTTTTGCTTTTGTAGGTCCATTCAAATGGTCCCTGCACCCCTTTTTGAGCGTGGCCAGAAAATACTGCCAATTGGTATTATTAGTTCCTGAAAACACGCAAGCCGATAATTATAGCGTGGCACGAGCCTAGAATATACAACTCATTCTATGTCAACCAGAAAAAGCATTCCCTATTCTCCCGACCAATCATGGATAAACCCATTGGCTGGTTTGAGCATCGTGAGCAGCCTAGCTACGATGTCCGCCTGCAAGATGCCCCCATATGTCTGCTCGCAAGCTCGCGACCACACTGAAAGGATGCTAGGCGTTCAAAGAAAGTGCTCAAGCTCGTGACCCGCACTGACGAAGGCGTCGTCTTTTTGCCCCCTTGTGACCCCTTTTTCTGTATAGCTTTCAGCACGCTCCCAAGTACAAAAAGGGAGTGAAAGCGCCATAAGCGCTGAATGCCTGTATGCTTGTACTTGACAGATTCTAGAAGTAGCAGTGAATTTGTGACACAATAAGCTCTTTTAATGAAGCTATCAAACAATTACTTAAAAGAGTGTTTCAGAGCTCTATGATCGAGTCACCTTCACTCGTTTTTAACCTAGGTGAGCTGCCAAAATTTTGATGACAAACTTCAGCGTAATGAAATGTGGGTGTCGAGTGTGGGCCTTGCGTAATTTCCTGTCGCAGCAAGCAAAGAAACAGTCTTTTTTTCGAAAGGAAACCATAAGCTCACCTTGTGAACGATAGAATTGTACTTTTGAAGCACAGGCTCTGACTCGTCATGGAAGGTCTTGATGCACTTGACGATGGTGTCCTCATTGTCGTCCACACGGCCGCTCGTCTGGCCATGCTTCAGAAGCCGGGCCTTCATCGTATCGTCTGACACCTCGAAGTAGATCAGGTTCGTGCACTTGCACACCTGCAGAGTTTCATGTGCAATAAATATGTGACTGCTCATATTTATTATTCAGCATCATATTCATAACATCAATCTTTCGACTGTTTGTTTGTTTTCTATTAGAAATATCCGGTGATGACTGATATATTGCTACTATCTGTCTACAGATCACACAACTTGCGTATAAGACACGTCCTCCTTCGCCGACATGCGATTTGCTCGTTTCCCGTGAAGGCAGTGAAATTGGCATTGTGACCACGATTTATTAAAGACGTGTGCACGTAGCACTGTCTATCACTTGTGGCAGCGGTTGTCAGCAGTAACTGAAGTGCAGATAGGCGAAAAGAAAATCATACTCGACAAAAGCCAGTCAGGAAGAAGAACTCCAGGTTGTACAGCAGAGACTCGCAAAGGACATTCTGGTTAAACTGTAGTGTCGAAATACAAATCGCGTGGCTTCCCCCGAGAATTTATTTCTTCACAATATGGCCCAGGTACTTCTAATGGGCTGTATTCAACTGTCCCAGGAAGTCACACGCCTTGTAGTGTGACAATTTTTTTAGCAGAATGTTTGCAGAGTTTTTTAGCAGAAAAATCAGTACATTATACAACCGGGATTACTTTTTGATACCTATCTTTTTCCGTCAGATATACGTATATTTCGCCTCTTACCATTCACTTACGGCAGGTCATCATTGCTTCTGTCAAAACAAGGCACCCTGTACATATGTCCCGAAATCCTGGAAAGGCTCTTTATGTTCCAACTAGATTTTGCAGAGGGCAAAAGGTGTAATTTCTTGGCACGCACCAAATTAGCTCTGCTGTATATAGTCATACTTCTAAAAGCACATGCCTCTGAACTACAGCAAAACTTGTTCAGTTCAATTTATGCTAGATAATTTCGGGGAAATTTGTGTAATACATTTCATACACGTTTCACTGAAATATATTCATAGAGAGGAGCAGATTGTAGACCTCAGCAGTGGTCAGGTGCTTATACTTAAGGATTGGCATGTGTATACTTACAGTAAATACACGAATTGCCATAGGCGCATTGGTTAGTCAAGTCGCATAGGAAACAAAAATAGAAAAATGTCTACGAAAGAGAAGATTATTGTCTAACATAGTAGTAATCGTGGTAGCAAGTTATGTGCTCCATGGCGCTCCCTTGGTGCGCTTTGCGTTTCAGAGTGCTTTTGCTGTGACAGGTCTGGCATTGAAAGATAGTTTATTACGTATACAAGACTTTGTATGAAGTATTCACCAAAAATGCAAAACTGCTGTAATAGTACAATGACCAAAGTTTTTTTTTCAAAAATTAGGGTGAAAATTGCTTGTGTTGCTCCCCATCGTGCAGAGATGGAGACTCTTTTGGTATGTTTTCAGGGCTACTTGTCCTTCTTGAACTGCGGTATTAGAGTTTGCAGGGAAAACCGAAAAAGAACCTTGGCAACTTTCACCCAGTTCGAAGACCATTCACTTTACCGCGTCTTCCTGCCTCCCACTCTTCATCCTAAATTCGCCTCTGTCCCAAATGAGGTTTTCTTCTGTTCCACAGAATTCATTCGAGATCCTCGAACTTTTACTCCGTCATCGTGAAGGGAACTCCATCCCACCCTTGAAACATCTAGTGGCAAAATACGGAATCTATGGCAGCGTATACAAAAGCACCAGATTTCGACTAGAGCCATTCGATATGGACACATTTTAAGCCACTGGTGTAGTACGAGGTGTAGTACAGACGCATTTTCTTTTTTAAAATTGCTATGTATTTATGGGTGTGTCTATTCTCGTAATATATTAAGGGGCAAGACTTTCAATTCCTCTATAGAAGCAAAATTTGACTGTCTGCGTTAATACGTGTGAAGACAAAAATCATCACCTGATGCCATGACTGCCATTAAATCACCAAACTTTGACATATTATTATGGTGTCATCATGGCATCATAAGACGATGTCGATTCATCACTCGTTGGCGCCGATGACGGAGGCAATGCAAAGGCAGGTGAGCTGCCCACAGTTTGCAACGACTCCTATCCTAGAGGCAGTGCAGAGCCACATTAAGTGCAAGAAGCTCGCGGAGAGAGGCAGTGAAGGATCAATTCATGTACAGAAAAGAAAAAAGAAGGTCTTCGCCTTATAGTCACCTTAGAAGAAAGGACTGTCCCAGAGAATTCATCACTGTTTATATACACTGCTTTCAAAGCGATTTCATGTGTGCCATCACAGCGTCACAAATGAATAGCGCGTGTTCACAAAAAAAATCCAGCTGGAAGCTCGGCTTTGTCTTAGCGGTATTTTTCTCTTAGCACTCTAGGCATTCGCGCAGCAACATAAAGAATATACATATATTCTAAAAAAATAACAGCACACAATACAACTCGACTACTTGCATTACTAACGTTTGACACGCTGCAGGAGCCACACGCAAGGGCATTATCAAAATATAGTCCTCAAATTGATTAAACAGCATGGTGAGTTGTCATGCTTAATTTCGATCTTCTCGTATGACGATCAGGAATATGAACAGGTGAACACAAATGGCGTACGTTCCTTGATGTGGACAGGCTACCTTATATGTAAAATACAATTATAGCACGGAGCTGCACGTAGACAAAAAGCTTACGTCAGATTCGAAGCGCTCCCCTTGCTCGACATTCCTGGGATAACCATCAAGGAGGAATCCCTTGGCTGTCAGTAAGTCTTTCTTGATTGTTTCCTTTATCAGTTGAATGATCATATCCTGCAATACGAAAAAGAGGTGCTCGTCAAATATATAAGCACTCGAATTTCTGGCACCTGTAATTCCCAAACAGTGGGATGATTAACAGGGCAAAGAAAGTTGCGAATATTGTTTATATGAACATACATACATGCTGACGATATCTGCATGTTAAAGAACAGGGGTATCACTGCATACCCAGTATAATTTCTGCCAACAATATGAAGCAAATCTGCTTAATAATCAATATCGTTCTTAATCTCCATGTGGTAGACCCGCTCAACAACGTATGCCGAGAATATCAAAACTAACCGAAATGTTTTTTATTACCTGTTAAACTCGGCTAATAACTAAAGAGCACAACAAAGCATAGAATGATGATGATATTTTAGTTTTGCGCGCTCTTTAATAAATTCATAATACCGTGCGAATGCTAGTACACACCAACCCTAAAAATCATCATGGCAAGAAACGTTGCCCCATGCGGCGGCTCATTTAGGGTTAGTTGTATTGTTTTTATCTTGAGCACATATTTCATAGCGTCTAATACAACTCTCTCAGCATGTAACACGGCCCTCCTGAAGGGGTAACCCCCACCCTTCCAGTTTGGGCAGGAGGAGGTGTTCGCGTGTCGCGCACCTACACGTATGGTTGGATTGTGACCTTTACCTGCATCTGTCGTCCACGAACTCAGCCTATTAGAATCTGCTCTAGAATGTTTCAGATGGAAAGGACTGTATCGCCTGCACACGCAGATGCGGCGAATGTGACAGGCGTGTAAGAAGAGCCATATATTGTATAATGCTGCACCTCAAACTGTTAGTCGTAGTTTCTGTCAAAAAACATAACTTTACGGATAAACTAACTATATCTGACGCACGAATTTCCAGTGCTTTTGGCCGTCTCTGTACAGAAGGGGTCCGAGCATGGGTACATTCCCCTCGAACGCAAGCTCGTGGTTCTACTTTGCCAATTATATTTCCACATGTGCTCCTTTCACTCAATTTGTATGTAACACGTGTAACTTCGGACTGACGCAAACAGCATCCGATTGACTGGAAACTATCTAAATAGTACTAGAACTTCCTATAAGATTATGCGCAAAACACAAATATTATAGTTTGTTCTGGAACTTGCGCGGCCTCTAGCGATAACTCCGGAATCGTCTATAGCACACATATAAACGCCGAAGCGCTTGGCCGCTTGAGAGATTATCGACGGAAAAACAAAGTTTCACTTTGGACACGCCGACTGCTGCCTTCGTCAACGCATTATACTTCATGACAATATCGAGTTGCACGTGTCCTTTAGTGAATGCTAACCACTAAACACCGACACAGTCGGGTGACCGACATTCCTGCGTCTACTTGTAACTCTTACGAACTGCTATCCCTGCTTTATCTAACGCCTGCTAAGCCACAACACCGAAGTTAACGAATCTCTAGCTGTAAATGCATTTTCTGTTCTATGCCTACACAGAACCATGAATGTCTTATTTTCTGCGTAGATATAGCATGTCATGTCTATTGTCCGTTGAAATTAAGCAATTTTAGAGCCGAATTTTGAGCATTCTACGAAACAAAACCTGAAAAATTTACTTTTTGCTTTCCCAGCTTATGAAAACGAAAAATAGAGAAGAAAAACGGGTGTCCAGGGAAGATGCTGCTCCTGGATGCCAGCGCTACAGCAGGGCCACGCTCTTTAACAGCGAAATTTCTTATACCTAGAAAGCTGTATGGGCTGTATACATCTGTTATCCCCACAACAGAGGTGTTGACGGCGTTTCCATTTTCTGAAGTTTTGAGACGTCCTTCACCTGGCGTGCTTCCGCAGAAGTGACCTATTATATACTCCCGGTTTACAATGTGCGTTGGAAACAGCCGAGTATTGCACGGACGTCCTAAGAGCCCAGTACCCGTAGCTTTGACAAAAAACTACCCCCCCCCTCCTCCTTGAAGAAAATTGTGAGGAAATGTGAATGCATTGCGTATCGTTCATAACGGTGTTTTGCATGTGAGATTCCAGAATTAGAAAAATATTGTTTTTTTAACTGTGCAGCCAAGAGCGCCGTTCGCAGCAGGTGGCATTTTTCTGTCGCGAAAAACACGGTATGCGTGTCCAGCTCTTGTAGCTAGCGTGCACGGTGAAAAAATACTGTGAAATGAATAAAAGAGGGTTCTCGGCTCGGGGTTGGTACACAATTCCGGATCTCCACATTTCTGGATCTTCACATTTTAGGATGTTCTTGATAGGCACCCAGCTAGCGAACAGTCCAGAGTGAGATGCAAGCAGACAAGAAAGTGGAATGCAAGGAGGAGAGAGAGCGAACGGTGAGAGGAGCGGCGAAGCACTGCACCTGTCATTGTACCTGACGGCCTTAATGTCAGCATCTTATCAACAGAAACGCTACGCAAATGCTGGCAGCACAAATGCCACAAACGCGTTTCAAACGCACTGCATTGAGGCGGTGGCAAGTCACGTTCAAGGCAACAAGATGGGGGCTCCGGTTGCTAAGGGCGAGAATAAGCGCGCATGCCCGCAGCTGTTGGTGACAGCTGCCGACGCCGAAGCGTGACATGGTGGAGGCTCCGGTTGCTAGGGACGTGCACGCCCGCAGCTATTGCTATGGGAGAGGGTGGTAGACAGATCCGAACGAATGTTGACATATTCCGATTAAGAAACGCTTTTGCATTTAAAAAATATCAAATGAAGAGCGTTCATTCACCCGCGTTTCATTGCTGAAGCCTCCAGTCATAGAAAAATTGTTAAAGGGCTACTCACCAGACTCTAAAAATTAAAAAAAACGAGTGCAATATTTTCTTTTATATGTCTTGTCCTTGTTGCTCACTTTTGTAACGCAGATTGTTGCTGTGACGTCTATAGTATACATTGCTCTGGAATGGTCTATATATCAAATGTGATTTGTCTCCTGCACTGCTCTGCCATGCAGCCGCCCCAGTCTTGCATGTATATTGTGCGTGACCAACGGATCAAACATCATTTTGTGTATTTAGAACTGCGCAAGAGGTGATAATAGCGTGTAGCCGATACGCCCGAAATCCTGATAGGCTTTAGCGGTAAATGCTGACATTGTTTAGGTGCTTTTAGAACTAAGGTCCAAGGATAATGCATCGCCTGTGAGAAGGGTAGCGAAAGAGATCAGAAAACCACCCCCTCGTCATTGAACAGTGGAGAATGGCCCTTTGAGAGCGTTTTCATGCACTCCATTGCCGGTAACTTCAAGTGGCCCTGCAGCACTTTTTAGCACGGTCAGAAAAGGCTGCCGGTCGGTAGTAAAAGGCCCTGATAACACGACAGCCTAACATTATAGCATAGAATGCGGCCTGGATTTTGCAATTATTGACACGTTTTCGCAGAAATTCTGGTACCAGCGTCATTTGTTGTGAGCAAAAAATCTTCTGTGTGACCAAAAAATAGAGAAAGATGTGAATAAAATAATATACAAACGTTCTAGCTCTGACTAGAGATCGAATCCGGGTCATTTGCGTCGCAAGCGGGTGTTCTACGGCACAGCCACGCCCCTCCTTGTGAACATAGTGAAAATCTCTTCATCTGCTTAGAAATGCAAAGAAAGCAAGTTTCATGCTTTACAAACACACGCGTCCTATATACATGCTTAACAATACAACAAGAAATATTACAATAATAATGTGTGGTACAAGCGTACACTGCCACGGGTGTCCGTGCATTTGAAGTAAATAATGACTTCTAGGTTGAAAAGTTGTTCACCCATACAGTAGAAAAGGCACACACGTTACTGCGCCTATTCTCTTTTACATGCAATAAGTGCTTGAAGTACGCACTAGGGAAAGGATATCCCTCTTGGGTTCGAACTCTTAGAGGCAAAGCTTAACCCCCGAATGCAGAGATGTTACTTGACACGTACTTGACTCGTTCTTGACTCAAGACAGTCTTGCCGGTCGCCATAAATCTTTCTCGAACTTGCGGATGACTTGAAGGCGACTTGGCTCGGTCGAAGTCAGGACAAGTTTCAAGTCAGCTGCGGGGCTAGCTTGAAAGCGACTTCGTGCGTTATTCCAACATGGCCACCTCTTGAATGGACGTCGCGTGAAAGGTGGCCACTTTTGAGTTTGCTTGCCTTGCCATAAGTGTAGCATCTTTTGAGGCGCACTGCCTGCCGAAGATTCTTGGAACCGCTTTACGTGACCAAGGAATTCCGATGGTGTTGTACGATGAGCAACAATTCCACGCTAGGTACAGATTCGTGAAGAACGCCGTGGGACAGCTGCTCGTTATGTTGCCGCTCCCTGAAAGTGGGGACAACCGAAGACAGCCCGTGCATCTAGTGTTACAGCTACTGATGGCTCTCAGGTTTTACAGCGCTGGCACATACCAACCAGTAACCGGAAATTTCGTCCGCATTCCATAGTCGACAGTGTGCCGTGCAGTCGGAAAAGTTACGCTACTCATCGCAAAGCACCTATACGCGATGCTCGTGCGCTTTCCGCAGCCAGCGGACTGTTATGAAGTGGCTGAGTTCCCTTGCGTTACAGGTTGTGTCGACTACACACAGGTGCGTATTATTGGCCCCGATGTCGACAACGCCGAAGTGTTCCATAACCGCAAAGGCTTTTTCTGTTTTTCTATAACACGACGACATTTTGAGTCTCTTTCGGTAAAAAAAAAATTGGCTCGGTGCTGTGTGCGTGTGCCTTGTCTATCCTTTCGTCCTATGTAGGGCGCTGTTTCTCGCTCAGAAAGGCATCGCTTGTAACACAACGCTACGTAAAATTACACACACATAAAAAGAGGTGCCCTTATCACGGGTTTTTTATTCGCGTCACCATCATGCAGCGATACATTGCTGCACCCCGCGAGACAGAATTCTGCTGAGGGCGACGTCCTGACCCCCGCTTTATCTCTTGTTTACCAAGCTCAACAAAGGATACGAATCACATTTGTTCCCAGAACTTGTTTTTTTTTCATAATAACTGCGACCTAGCCCATTAAGGCATGCACACAGGCGAACAGAAAGGCAAATACCGTGAAAATCGCGTCACCTCGTGAGCCAGGTCAGCACAAATACATGCCATGGCGTTCGATTGAGAAAAAAAAACGACGAAAGAACCCAATGCGATGCTTGTTTCGCCTCCAAACAAGCAACCGTAGAGATACGCGCCGCACTTGGGTGGCCACTAAAACCAGCGAGCAACGAACGCTTTACAGAAGCAACACTGGGCATCGCTGTGGCGGCAGGCACCACTTGCCGCCCGTTAGCCGTAAAATGGCAAGAATATGCTTGTGGCCCTTCGTTTTTATAGTTATTTCAAAACGTATGGCCTTTTTTTGCTGTAATGCGTGCCTTAAGCGAACTTCATTATTACCCTCGTTAGCAGGCGAGCAGCATGTTTCTGCTTTAAAGCTCGTTCTTGACTTGACTAAGCAAGACAGCCTGAGCATCTACGAAACGCGAAGGCTGACTTGGGCATTTTGAAGTCCGCTGCTCACTTCACGCCAACTTGCTCAAGTCAAGTTGAAGTCGCGAGCCAAGTAACATCTCCGCGTTCGGGGGTAAGGATCCCCCAATTTTTTTTCTCAAAGTCCTCTAGAAATCATTCTCTTTTCTCTAGTGAAATATCAATATGCACAGAAATGGCTGCACCGTGTACTCGCATTCATGGTCATTGGGTTAATTGAGCATCGTGAGCTGCACAATTGCTCCTACCACTGCTGGAGGCCACCATGTACGTTACTGCACACCAGTTACTCTGAGAAGTAATGCAAAGCCTATTTAAAGAACTGTCCGCCGCTTGGAAAACTTTTTGTGATTGGGGCCCGAATAAGATTATTGTGCATCACATTGGTGACAAGAAAAATGCATTTGACTCATAAAAATTAAATTATAAGTTTATCTTGATGTTGAAAGTCGACAAAAAATGATCGCTTGCGATATCCAACAATTTTCTATTTGCTGCCCATTTCCTTATTGTCTTGATGTAGGATTAAGCTATGATCAAAATTTTCAAGCAATGGAGTCAATTCACTGGTAGGAGAATGAATCCTCACAAGTAGATTTATTTTGCTTAAAAAACATGCAAAGCTTGAAATTGTACTTTATACACTTGAGGTAGCTTTAGGTTGTGCCAAATACTAACTTTTGCTTTTTTTTTCTCACGCATTAAAGGCGCCCGGTGGCGCTGCAGGCTGTTTGTTCACTTGCCTGCATGTCTGCCTACATTTCTGCTTGCAGACGGTGGAGAAACGCAAGCACGGTGCCCACCGCCACTCATAAGAACAACAAAATGTGGGTGCGCAGTTGAAACGACCGCCAAAGTATTGGTTTTATTCTGAAGCCTGCAAAAACTGCACGCGGTTTCAGTTTTCCATTTTCACCGGCAGTACAATTGCCGTCGCCGCCACCGACCAGTGCCCCGCCGCCGTGGTCTAGTGGCTAAAATATTGCGCTGCTGACCCGCAGGTTGCGGGATTGAATCCCGGCTGCGGCGGCTGCATTTCCGTTGGGCCGGAAATGTTGTAGGCTGGTGTGTTCAGATTTGGGTGCACGTTAAAGAACCCCAGGTGGTCGAAATTTCCGGAGCCCTCCACTACGGCGTCTCTCATAATCATATGGTTGTTTTGGGACGTTAAACGCCACATATCAATCAGCCACCGACCAGTGTTGTGAACATTTACCCGACCGTTGGAAGGCGATCAAACGCAGATAGAAAAACTTTGTTTTAAAAGTTTCTACACACTTTCTAGACAAACTGCTGCATGGTTAGACAGTTCACATGGTAGGCTTTTATTTCAACACAAAACAGAAAAGCAGTGAAGGACGGTAGAGAGTTCCTTTAAGGATGAGTCACTTACAAGTGGTTCAAGCTCTCCCTGCTTCATAATGTCGTTGATTTGCTTGCCCTGGTCACTGCCAGACGCCACTTCAGCCCGCAGCAGGTCACCCGACGAGATGTATGTGAAGTCGTACTTCGCCACCATTTTGTCGCACTGCGTGCCCTTGCCCGATGCCAGGTCCACCTGCGTGGCCCGGTACGCATTTAGCGACAATAGTATAGACGATTTTATGTAAGACACCTGGTTGCCGCTCCCATGATGGGTTAAGCAAATGTTTTGTTATTTTTGCTTATTGCGGCACGAGTTAAACTGGTCATGACACATCGAGTGCGTCAGCGCAATCATTTTATATGTATGCATCTACCAAGCACAAACTGTGGTACTGTCGGTTTATTCAATGAAGCCACAAAGGGACAAGGTTTTGTATGCTCTCCTCCTTTGTTAGGATTGGTGAAGAAGGTACAAAACATATATACACAAAGGCAAAGGAAATCAGTCTTGAAAAAGACTAGTCCACTTGTCGAAATGTCAGCTCCTGCAACCATCATCTGTTTACAAATTTCACAAGTACACTTGCTGTAGGCACTCTGGGATAGTTCTAAATGGTCATTTATTCGTTTCTTTATGAAACGATAGTACCGTATACCAAGGATTGAAGGTAAACTAGCAATTAAGAAGGTGATACGTACGGGGCTCATTTATGCGATCGACTTCTGCACTTAAAAAGGAACTTCAAGCGAACTCCAAGTTTTTTTTTCTAACGTCAACTATAGTATCGGCTGTTCATGTTAGTTCTTGGATTTTCTCTGGTATTGGACCTAAAGTGACTCAGGCTGTGCGCGACGCGACACGCCTTAGTGAAAGACTCCGGATGATCTTGACTACCTCAGGTTTTTTTTACTGAAGTGACACAGCACAACAGTCGATCATTCAAAATTTCATCCCAGTGGCCGGGGCCAAGCACGCAACTTTCGAATAAAAGTCGAATATTCTAACCGGGCAGTCAGCCACCCCAGAAGTAACATCTGCTCAGCTGTCTTCCTATCATTTTTGATAGAGTCAACAATGCAAAAATGCTCCCTTACATTGATTTCGGTGCAAGTTTAAAATTAAAACTCACCCGAGAGTCAGGACATCGAAAGGGTTCGTACATGCCACCTCTCATAACGCATAATGACAGCTACAGGTACACTTGTCGTTGGTGCGTGGTGACAGACCCGAAAGGAGGAGGTTCGATTCCATCAACGGCGGTCGCATTACCGATGGAAATTAAACGTTAGAGGTCCGTGTACCATGAGATAAGAGTGCATATTAAGATACACCAGATGGTAAACTCACGTGCAGAGTTATAAGCGATCTCCATTAGAAATATTGGACCACTTGTAGTGCTTTCAAACTACACATACACTTCCGCGTTCCTCTTTCATCAGAACGAGGAAATGGCAACACGGAGGTTGATCTTAAATATGAGGATGCCTGAGCGTCATCTTCAAGAGTAGAACGCTATAGCGTAATCTGACCCTGTTCGCGTTCTCTTCTCATATACAGGCCAGACTTCATTTCTGAGTGAGCATCTCAATCATACCGCAAGGAATTGAATGCCTGTCCGTGTAACACTGCCTATTGTGGACTCTCTTTGAGTGTATGCATACTGCCGGAGCATTTGAGTGCGCACTACACCACGAGTCATCATATTGTGAATCAGCGAAGTAGTAACCACTACGCGTCAACGAGGCAATATAAACGCAGGCGCACACCTTGTTGATGACGTTCCCGATTAATTAAAGGTGAACACTTTGCAATGGGTGGACTTTTTATCTTAGCTGATTTCACATGGCAAAGCACCTCGTGCAACTCTACCCATTTTTATGATCGGTTCCGGGGCTGACAAGGGAACAGCGTTCTTTTTGATCTTCAAACAAGTCGCCGACCGATCGGCGGACTATGTCTACCATGTATTGTTCCCCCCTTGGCCGGAGGGTGAGGCGTTTTGCCGCCACGACGCCGTAAGCAGTTCAGGAGACGACTACAAGTGCAGCATCTTCCTTAAAAGATGACAGCGGCAGCCGCAAATCGCCCCGCTAATTAAGCGGGCAGTTTGGCCGACCAGTTTAAGCTTGTTTACGGCAGCCCTTTTGATGGATGCTGTCATGAGCTTCAGACCCCTCGCCCAGCGGCACACATCGACAAGGAAGAGCCACGTTTGTGCCACATAGCCATGCAGAGACCACGCTTCAATATTGGACGTTTACGTGGGCTGTGCATGCCCGTCACCCTCGCCGGTTATGTGTGATCCGTGATTGGACAGTGCCATCTGTACGCATTCCCCAATCTAGGGATCTAGGGAGAACATACCTTTTATATCCCCCCGGCTCATTTGGGGTGCTTTTTTGAGTGGAGAGCTCGGCATGTACGAAGAACGCCACTATGTAACTAAACTTTTTGCTGACCTTTTTCTAGTGTAAATAAACGTCTGTTCTCTGTTTTCCTGTACAAGCATTGCTCCTCGTTATAAGGGACGAGTTAGATGGTGTGGCCAGCTACCAACGACGAGACATACCGAACCCGAGTCACAACTGGTTGACAGTGGTGGGATCGAGCTCATCGACCAGAAGGAAATTCCGAGACCGGCGGCCTGGAGGACCTAGCGTTGGACGAAAGTCCTTTGCAGCATCACTGACAACACTGGAAGGAACGCGTCCCAATTCACGACTGCATAGGATGAGAGGACTGCTTTTCTTTGCTGAGATATCACCAGGCTTTGCGTAAGATTGTAAACAAAGCACTGATTTGGTAACTGTTGATGGAAGCACTGATAGTACGTCAAAGTTGTTTAGTTAGGAGTTAGCAGCACCAAGGATAGCCATGAATTTGAAGGGACTAAAAAAGCCAGAGTTGTTAGAGTTGGCCCAAGATCTGGGCCTGCAAATTGCCGAGACGACAAGAAAGCCGGAGATCATTGACGCTACCGAGCAGACCGGCGCAGATGACGAGGAGCTCAGCGAATGCTTAGAGGACATTAAGCAAAGAAAAGACGAGCACAGACTCTGTAAGGAAAAAGAAAGAAAACGTATCGATCGTATGGAAAGGAAACGCCTAGAAGTTGAACTAGCGAAGGCTCAATCAACGAACGAAGCTACCCCAGTGGCACGAGGAAGAGAGCGCCGAATGATAGATTTGATGCGATCCTATGCAGTAGGAGGGGACATTGGTCTGTTTCTGGTGTACTTAGGGCGCACTTGTGAGAGGGAAAATTTTGCTAAAGACGCGTGGCCGCAGCGCTTGCTTACGCTGCTGCCGTGTGAAGTAGCTGACATTATAGCCCTCATGGGGAAGGAAAACGCAGACGACTATGACAAAGTCAAAGCGAAAATGCAGACGACTATGACAAAGTCAAAGCGAGTTTGCCCAATAAGTACAGAATGTCAGCGGAAGCGTTCAGGCGAAAATTTCGTGAGATCCAGAAATCCAGAAACGAGTCATACCCAGAGTTTGCATACACCTTAAAGGTAAATCTTGAGGAATGGCTTAAAAAGGAGGGCACGCTTGGTGACACTGGAAAAGACTCTGCAGTGCTTTGCGTTTAGAGCAGTTCTCTCGGCGTCTACCCGAAAACATTAAATACTGGGTTCAGGATAGGCAAAGAGTAGATACTATCACGAGAGCGGCAGAGCTCGCAGAGGAGTACGTAAATCGCCGTGCTCTCGAAAGCAAGGATGTCCCTAGGAGCGAGATGCAGTAAATATCATGCCGACAAGCCTCCGCGATGGGCAAAGTCGAGTCAGTATATGCTGAAGGAGGGATTAGACTCCAAAGGAAGTGGTGACGAGAACAAGCGAAAGGAAGAAGCACCCGAGGAAAGGGTGGAGGGGAAACAGAAAAAGGCGTTCGGGGCCAAGAAGCCGATAGTTTGCTACAACTGCCAACGAATGGAGCATATTTCTCTAGGTTGTAAGAACCCGAAAGCTGTGGTAATGGCGAAAATTTGTGGTAAAAAGTCAGAAATGCCTTGGAGAGCATGCAAAAAGGCAAAGCTGCTGGTGAGGATCAGGTAACATCAGATCTGCTGAAAGATGGAGGACGAATTGTGTTAGAAAAACTAGCCACCCTGTTTACGAGGTGCCTCCTGATGGGACGAGTACCAGAGTCTTCGAAGAATGCTAACATCATCTTAATACATAAGAAAGGAGATGACAAGGAGCTGAAAAATTACAGGCTGATCAGCTTGCTCTCTGTAGTATACAAGCTATTTACAAAGGTAATTGCTAACAGAGTAAAGACAACATTAGAATTTAATCAACCAAAAGAACAAGCAGGATTTCGAACAGGCTACTCAACAATCGACCACATTCATACTATCAATCAGGTAATAGAGAAATGCTCATAATATAACCAACCACTATACATAGCCTTCATAGATTACGAGAAGTCGTTTGATTCAGTAGGAATGTCAGCCGTCATGCAGACACTGCGGAATCAGATTGTTGAGGAAGTATATATAAACATCCTGGAAGAAATCTAAGGGGATCAATGGCTACCACAGTGCTTCATAAATAAAGCAACAGAATACAAATCAAGAAGGGTGTAAGGTAGGGGGACACAATATTCCCAGTGCTATTTACCACGTGCTTACAGGAGGTTTTCAGAAGCCTAGAATGGGAACAGGTAGGGATAAGAGTTAATGGAGAGTACTTTAATAACCTGCGCTTCGCCAATGGCATTGCAATGCTGAGTAACTCAGGGGACGAAGTGCAACTCATGATTACGGAGTTGGACAAGGAGAGAGCAGCAATTCGAGATAGTTAATAGTGCACTTCAAGTTGTAAAAGACTATGTCTACGTAGGGCAGGTGAAAACCGCGGAGCGGAACCACGAGATTGAAGTAACTAGAAGAATAAGAATGGTTGATTTGATTTGTGGGGTTTAACGTCCCAAAACCACCATATGATTATGAGATACGCCGTAGTGGAGGGCTCCAGAAATTTTGACCACCTGGGGTTCTTTAACGTTCACCCAAATCTGAGCACACGGGCCTACAACATTTCCGCCTCCATCGGAAATGCAGCCGCCGCAGCCGGGATTCGAACCCGCGACCTGCGGGTCAGCAGCCGAGTACCTTAGCCACTAGACCACCACGGCGGGGCCAATAGAAATGGGGTGGAGCACATTTGGGAAGCACTGTC